CTGCCCAGGGAAGTGGTTGAGTCACCATCCCTGAAGGTATTTGAAAGACGGGTAGATGAGGTGCTTAGGGACATGGCTTAGTGGTGGGATGGCAGTGTCAGGTTAACGGCTGGACTTGATGATCTTAAAGGTCTTTTCCAACCTAAATTCTACTCTATACAAGCTTACTTGAGGTAAACAGGGGGGTGTTTCAAATGCAGAATGCTTGTTAGTGATTCATCTAAATTACATTTGAAAGTGGCAATTTTTTAATGTGACTGAAAGGCAAACAGTGGATACACAGCACCACTGAATATATACCCCTTCTGAGCCTCAGGGGGTGGTGTGTTGGCCAAATGCAGAGAGCCTACTTCATTCTGAAGAAAAATAACGAAGAGCTATTGCAGAAGCTGAGGCAGCTAGGAAAAAAAATATGATTATTGTTTTCCCTTTTGTGTTTGTCAGGTACTCTGACAGAATAATAGAACTTAATTTCACACTTACATAACATTTGGCTAAAATCCCTGTAACTATTTTAGGAAGCCAGATTCATTAGTCTCTTGAAGTAGCGTATTCAGTGCTGTCTTTAAGTGGCAGTTGCTGCCATTTAGTACCAGGTTGAGAAAGTTCCCTGTTAAGTTTTTAATTTTAACAGAATGTGCCATACCTGATCTTTTGCTTTGTTAGGATGGAGACAGATGGTTAGATGATAGATGCCAGCAGCAGTGGCATCAGGGGCAGAAGGAATGGGAGACTGGCAGGAGGGCAGACCATGCCTTGCCCATCTTGATCTAATCTTTTTATTGATCTTGATACCATTAAAAATCCTTCATGGCTAAAGAGAAACTGCGAACACTACTGGAACTGTTAGTGGCAGAAGTTCTCTAAAACACTAGTAGCTGTCCCTCTCAGTTCAGGGAATGGCTAACTCTTTTGTCCCTGCTCCCCATACCCATTGCTCCTAGCATGCCAGGCCAGCTGACTAGCTCAGCGTTCTCCAGACCTATTGAGGCTTGCGTTGCAGGTAGCTGGGTGCACATATTCTTAAATTTTGCTTAAGGTCCCCAAAATGGGCTCTGTACATCCCATCTAAGCTCACCCCCATTATTGATTGTCACTATATATGGCATTTGCACTAAGCAGGATATATAGTTTCTCCCATATTTGTTCCTTCTCATTCAGTGCTTTTCCATCAAACCCTGGGCTCTTCTTCTCATAACCTGTTGTTGTTAAATGCATTGATTGTTCTGGTAGAGCTGCTGTGTGACAGCTTTCGTTCATGAATGTTTCCTGTGGTCACCCATGGTTTGGCTGCTGCTGGAATGCAAGTTACCTTTGCTAACTTGCTTCAGACAACTGTAAAAAAATAAAAAAAATACTCAGCAGCTGAAAACTTTCTTCCTCCCTATGATTGGGTATTTGTGGATATAGCAGACAGAACTTCCCTTTCCTTGGTGAATTGACTCTTTCCTATTTCATAACTTACCTTTTTCCTGTTTCCTGCTGCTAATAAAATTTGGTCCAGTGTGGCTACCGTATAAAGCTGTTTGCTCAAATAAGGTAGCAGAGAAGCCAAGACATCTGTTTCTAAACACAGGAAAATGGATTGGAGCTGCAATTCAGCTTTCTTATAAGATTATATGCCCTTTGTAAGAAAAATACTTGCAGCGAATCAGTATTAAATTCACTGAGCTATTCCGAAGTAAATCTTGCTTGTGTATTTTGCAATAGTTTGCTAAATAACATGTGTATTGCATACCTTGTTTTAAAATATTGAATCATTGATCCATAGAGAACAAGTTGTTAATAATCTAACTATTCAATTACGTTTGCAAGTCTTCAAAATTAAGACACAGAAACAAAGGACAATGTTGCCTTCTCTATTGCGCAAGATGTTGCAGTAGATTGCATGCAGTACATTAATCTTACTGTATTTAGTTTTATAGTTCATGAAGCAAATAATCCAAAGTGAATAATGCAATTACTAATGTGCAGACCACTGAGTTTATGCATTAAAAAATGGTGATCGCAGTGTTGAGCTTGCTCAGTACTTTAGAATTACAATTTAGATCTATTTCTTTGGAAATTCTTGACTAATGATACAGGAGCTGATGTCTGTTGGTTTAAAACTACTAATATAAAGAATTTAAAAGATCTTTAATATTGCCTTGGGGGGGGGGGGCAGGCAATGTTTCAATGTTAAAATTTATCTGGGAAAAAGCCTTGTATCTTTTTTGCTCAATTCATGAAAAGCTGAAACATTTTAAGAACAAAATCCTTGCTTCCTGATGAAGCAGGGGGGTGGTCTGTTGAGAAACGTCAGACTCCCTGGTCCAAGCTAGCACATTCTCTGAGACTTGGAGGGGTTTTTTTTGTCCAGCTCCCTAGCTTTGTCACTGCTGTTCAAATAAAGCACCACCTGGCAGTCACTTAAGCACTTTGTTACCTTGGCTCATGAATAGGTTTTGCTGTATGAAGATCAGAATGCTGTGTACCTCGCAGGACCACGTCCTGGTTGGAATATACTATGAATTTATTATTTTTTTTTTTTTGTGCTGAGGTACAGTGATATGGAGGCTGGCAACCTAGCTAGCCACTGTCACGTAGGGAAACTTCAGCTTGCCTGGAAGAGATGAGGGGGTTTACTTTAGATTAAAAGGACCAATAACAACAACAAAACCCCTCCAGGCTCAGGGCCACAAAATGAGGCTGCCCTGCAGTATGCAGGAGCTTTGTGCAGTCACAGGAAAAATATTTCTTCCACAGACCCAACAGTATAAGAATACTTAATAAATATTTTAGCCAAGCTTGAGTTAAAATAGGAAGTTTTTTTGAACGCTTCAGAAATGTGTTCTGTAAAGACACACATAATACTTAAATTCTTCCAAAATATAACTGTGGTTTACTAAGCAAAAGCCTTCAGACTTGGCTGGTCTTTCCCACCTGCATGGAGGAAAAGCACAAGAGTTCTTTGTGCAGGCAAGAGTAGATGGGTTTAGCTGTCACATGAGAGGAAGATAGTTGCTTCTGCTTTTTAGAGAACAAGCACAGATTGTGAGGCCTCCACTGTTGTATTACATTGTTCATGAATTCAAGTCCAAGGGCCTCTAAAAGACTTTTTTTATATCAGTTGGGAAGTTAATCATGGTTATATGAACAAATGAAATACTGTGTCATTCTTTTGCTGCTGGGATAGTGTTTTCTGTCTTTGTATACAAAGTGTTCATGCAACTGAGATGGTTCATGCCATGGAATAACTAATATAAAAACCAGAGTAACTATATTTTTAACTTGCACCTGTATTATTTTGGAGCTGTACTGCTTGTACGGAGATTTTTGTCTTTGAATTGCTTTTTTTGACTGAGGAAAGAATGCATGTTGATCCTTTTTACACCATAGTTCTTCCCCTATTTTAAACTTTAGGCACATTCTCCATTTGGACTCTACCTGCTGCTATAATATCTTTTGTTTTTCACGAATTATCACTATTTGTTTGTCTGTTTCTAGAAAACAATAGTATGGAATTCAGTGCTGGGACAAAAATAATTTTTATGTCACTTGCATTAGTTTTGAAATTAAGCATTAATGCTTAACCCCTGAAAAAACATTCATTCCTGGGTGGATTGTGTTCCTAGCTATAAAAATAAGTCTTTAATTGCTAGACACAGTTCAGAGTGTCTAAAATTGGATACTAACAGTAGGTTTAAGTGTTGCTTGAAAGAAAATTTGTTTGTAGTATCTATCTGCTTATTATGTTTCAGCACTGAGCAGGAAGAGTTATTTCCTGCCTCAGAATATTTGTTTCCTTTGTCTCTACAATGAGAGAAAAAAAAATAACAGTTGTCGTTCTGACCAGGGAAAACTTCTCATTTTTGTAAGTAGGGATTTATGATAAATGAATGTTAGTAATACGTTGCTGATGAAGACAGGAATTGTAATTTTAACATCATCTTATTGCAATGAATGTTACAGGGAATATGTTGTAGGTCACCATACAGTACACAAATGTAGTTTTAACTGCATAGCTAAATGTTTTAGAAGCTGAAGACTGCATGCATGAAAGCAGAGGTTGTAACTAAATTATTACATAGCCTTATCTTCCACTTTAAGTTGTGATTTTTATTCTTCAAATAAAATTTCATTCTGAGAGCTGGCTTAATCAAGCTAGCTTATTTTTAAAGACGGCTAACTTCAAGAAGATGGGTGGGGATCATGTGGTTTTCTTGGTGATTTAGCAGATAGCTCACCAGAATCAGGAAATCTTCCAGACCGTTCATATTTGTTTTTCAGTGTCTGACAGTATTTTTTGCTTTTTTGTTGTTGCCAGCAATCACAAGCAACTATTTTGCTGTAAATCAAAGAACTATAAGCCCAGAATTTTGCTATAATTATAGTTGACTTAGAGAGCTTTGAAGTTATCAATCACTCAGAAAGCAATTCTCAAGGCCACTAGTCTTACTTTCATGACTTCGGTGTCTAGTTTAAACATACTTACCATGTACTAGTTTACAAGTCCTCTTTTTTGAGGAAGAGTTCATGTATGGGAAGAAGCACTACATACATAGTTTCATGCTGGTGCATCCTATGAAGATGGAAAATTTTCACCATTAATTTATATTAATTTTGTAAATTGTTTTAAAATAGATATTGCAAGCTTTGAATTGCCAAGGAATGCATAGACCATCACAAAACTTGTGAAACCTTTGGTGAATGACATGACATAGAGGGTAATTTTTGTATTGGCTTAATGTTTGCCAAGACCTTCCTTTTTACTGGGTGTCCAGTGTTACAAGCGGTACACACATTTTAAAGAAGTAACCCTCAAAACAGGTATGCTGTAAATGGCAGACTAGCAAATTAGTCCCAATTTTAAAAGGTTTGCTGCAGTCAGTTGGAAGTAATGTTTTAACAGCTGTTGTAAGGAGAGGGAGAATAGGATGGCACCAACTTTAAGAATGTTTTGGCATTATACTTCAACTAAAATTAATTGGGTTTATTACTTGTTTTTTTCTTTGCTGTAGTCGTGACATGGAGAATAAAGAAACCCTCAGGGGGTTGCAGAAGATGGATGACCGCCCAGAAGAGCGCATGATCAGGGAGAAACTCAAGGCAACGTGTATGCCAGCCTGGAAGCATGAATGGCTGGAAAGAAGAAGCAGGAGAGGCCCTGTGGTAAGTGGCACTGATGGAAGGGCAGTATCTGTAACAGCTATTACAAAGAAAAATACCTTCAATTTCTTTCTGTTAGAAACCTGTTTTTCTTAACAACTTGCATACTTTTCATTATGGTCTTCCTGTTCATTTTTTTTATAAGCTGTTTAACAGGAAACTGTGGCAGACTTTCTGAAATGTACACATTTATCAAGCTTTAAGAAAAGGGCATATAGCTGTGCTGCTGCTGTGTGTAGTATAAAATAATACTGTGACAACACTGCCCTCTAACGTCAGCAACAAAAGTAGCTCCTGTTCATTAAGTAAAAAGTTTGAGTGCAAACCAGTACTATAGTGCTTTGTGTACTCCCTTGATTCTTAGGGTTTTTACGACTTCACTTTTCCTTAATTTGAAAACGTTAACATTTTCTATGTATTATAACAGAAGTGTATGTAACTTCTGCTAGATGAAAAACTGCAATCTTACTAGAACTAGAAAAGAACAAAGCTGAGTAACTTCTTTACACAAGTCTCAACTCTGCTAAACTTTGTGTGCCAGAGTATTCTATTAGCTGTTGGGTAATGCTTTTCTATAAATGACTCAGAAGTGGTTTTAAGAAATTGCAGGCAGATCAAACATGAAACTTTTCAAGCATAGTTACAATTCTATTCAGTATAATGCTGGTTAATTAATAGTCATTAGTTACCTGTAAGTGTAGTTGCATTGGTCGATGTGATTCCCATGTCCCCCTTGACGTGAGTGCTAATTTAACCTTAAGATCATCCAATGCAGTAAACAAGTGTTTGGGGGCAGCTTTTCTAGAACAGAAGAAAGAGGGTTCTGTTGGTAACTTTCTGTAATGAGGAAGAACATTGAAAATAATAAGTGCACCAAAAAAGCATTACTTCAACAGGTCAAATAACACAAAACAGTTCTCAGTTCAAAAATTTTTAAATGCATCTTGGTTACTGTGTAGCTTGAAATTGTTTCTGTGCTCAGCCCACTGCCCTGGAGGTTTCTGGGCTCTTCAATACAACTTTTGATGCTCTGATTTCCTGGTTACTACCATTTTACATTTTAAATGTTTTCAAGCACTAGCAGCTGTTAACTGTAACTTGTCCATAGTCACATAAATTTTCGTTCTGACCTTCCAGGAAAGAAAAAGCATTACAGTAGTCAGTAGGAAGAAAAAAGAAAAGGCTGCACTGCTTTTTATATTTCTCCTTTAACCTGTTCACTTTCATAATCAGATAGCAGTGTATTTAAAAACAATAGCAGCAAAGGTTTCTGAAAAGTTCAGGTTTGCAATAGATTAAATAGGATGACTTCTTAAAGCAAAATGAACTGTGCTTGGATCAAGGCTGTAAATGCAGATTTTTCTTCTTTTAGGCAGTGCCTAACTGCTAGACAACAACCTCCTCATTGTTGTCTTCTCTCTGTGGCCTGCTGAAACTGTAATGCATTTCTGGATAGCAGAATAGCTTCAGTTGGATGAGTTAAATGCTTCAGTTTAAAAAAGCATTTGATCTTGTGGATGCAGTCCAAATCATCAGGTAGAAGGGTGCTGAGTCTGCATGTCTCTTCCTCCCCATACCCATAACCAGGAGAGCCCCTTCCATTTTTTTTGCCTGTATCAGAGACCTCTGCAACTTTCTAAGAGGTCTGCTCTGTTTGTCTGAAGCATTACTTGGAGCTTCCTTCCAGCTTTGAGTCAAGCCTCTACGACATGCAGAAATGTAGAACTAAAACTGAATTTGCCCACTGTGACTGCTTTTAATTCAGTTCCCAAGGGCCTTACTCCTCTCAGTCTGAGAGGCAGGCAGCTGAAAGTTGTCTTGAAGTATTCCATACCTCAGCATCAAAATTCAGTGTTTATGCAACAAACCACGGTATTAAAAGTGTATGTACTGCTCTTCTAGCACACATGTGTCTATGCATGTAGTGCAGCACCGCGCATGGTGATTAGCTCAGATACCAGATGTGGTTGTAGCTGTTTCACTTGTATGGCAGGCAGAAAACCCAAGTGTGGTTCTTATAGGGTGCAGCACCCCTTAATTTTGTTGCATTGCCTCCAGGTTTAAAGTAATTTTTACATTGCAACAAGTGTTGTGTTGTAGAAATATCAACCCTAGTGTTTCTCAACTGATTCTTTCTGTATATAACAGATGGATCCAACATTATAGCTCTTAAGCAGTCAATGCCTGTAGAAAAGAATTCTTTTGGCTCCTCCTATCCAAATGGAGAACTGCTGTGCTTTGAGATATCATGACTGACAGTTACAGAAGTACTTTGAGAATCGAATCAGTTGCTGCTACAAGCAGTAAGTGGCACAAATGGACAGGAGTTGTGTATAATTGACAAGATAACCCCTATTAGAACCTAGGCAATATGCAAACTTTGGGTGTCTGGATAATGGCTTAATTATATAATGTTAGCAAAACAAGTTCTGATGAATTTGTTTTGCTTTAGTGCAAAATGATCAATTTGTAATTCTAACAAATGGTTTAATTCCTGCAAGGTGGTAAAACCTATCCCTGGGAAAGGAGATGGATCAGAAATGAACAAACTCTCTCTAGAACCTCAAACTGAAGGACAAAGTGCTGCTTCTTCACCTACACAGAAAGGAAGACGTAGTCCTTCTCCTAGTAGCTCCTCTTCATCATCTTCTAGGACGGTTAAATCTGAATCACCAGGTGTTAGAAGAAAAAGGGTATCTCCAGTGCCTGTAAGTTGCAAGCTGTGATGTAATTTTTAATTTGGCTATATTCTGCAATCTTTTGCTTATAGAGGCAGTTAATCCTCTCTGTGTAGAGCAAAATGATGATACAATGGGGTTACGACTGGGTATCATTTCAGTAAGATACTCAGAGCTTATCTCATGTTACGTTTCTCATGTGGGATTTTATTCTTTACTCTTGGGTGTGTGTTTTCTTTTTAATTCAGTTCTGCTTTCAATTTTAATTTCTAGGAAATAAATGAAGAAATTTAGATACTCAGTCATGAAGACATGTATGATCTCTTAGCTTGATTTGCACAGCAAGGTGCTAGTAGTTTGAGTGTTTTCCTGTAGTTTTGCATGTCAGTTCTCCAGGCTTGTATATTCCATCGCGGATAGGATTGTTGACTGGATTAAGGTTCCTGCAGAAAAGTGTTACTGGTGTGCTGTGATCCTCTGTTCCAGAACTGATTCTTATGTACAGATAGGGAAGACTTAGGTATGTGCATTGTTAAAAGACTAAAATCTTGATCATTATATTTGAGAAGATCTGGAATAGAACGTTTTGAGCAATAGTATCTAATGGGTTTGCTTATTATAAAAATGCTCACCCACAGTTAAGCTTCAGTTCACTTGTCTACTGCTACTGTGCAACTGGAGTAAGAATAAGATCTAATTGCTTTTACTGTCCCATTGCTCTAAACAAGGTTTCCAAAATAAGTTAAAATATGTACTGCCATTCCTCTGAACTAGGAATGAAAATCATAAGTTACAGCATTGCAGCACAGCTCTTTTCCTCTTGACAAGATAAATTGAAAGGTTAAAAAAACCCAAAACCAAAACAAAACCACAACAACCCAGTAAGCTATCTAATTTAGCTTTTGATACCTTTTTGCTTGATTTTTTTTTTTTTATATTAACCTTTCACATGAAAAACCTTAGAAGTTCAGGCTATCTTTTACTTAACTGATGGACAATGAACCAATTACAACATGCATCGTAACATAAAATTCAAAGTGAACATAAATCAAAGCAGAAAATTTGAAATTGGACAGAGTATCTCATAATGTTAGAAATGCAAATTATTTAAATGACAATTTTAATAAAAGGTTTGGGCTACTGAGTTTTTGATCATGGGGAACAAAACAAAAACAAAAAAACCATCCTGAGCTGAAAGTTGCTTTAATTATGCAAAGGAGAAGAAGCTGTATCCTTTTTCCTTTTCTTTGGAATTTCTTACACTTTTCTTCATTGACTGTATAGTCCCTTTTGTAAACTGTGATGGTAAGATTTCTTAAGTTATTAAATATATTAGCATTATAACTTTATTATATAATTTCTTGTATTGATTCACAAGTATGATTATCTTCAGATTGAATTATACTTGATAATTCAGTAATAATATGTAAGACAACTAATGAAGACTTGAAAATTGAGACATTTTAAAGACTCCTTTTCTGTCATAATGTCAGACAAAATTTCGGTTGCAAAATTCCAATTTTTCTGGAATTCTTTTACAATGGTAAGTCTAAGCAGATTGTAGTAGTTTCAGGTTTCTCTTACTCTTTGTCATTTGGAGGGGGGAAAAAACCCCAACCAACACTTAATTAAACTTACTGTTGTCCTGGGAATGCTTGTGATGGAATCACTTACGTAGTTTCAGAGTGGACGAATAACACCACCTCGACGAGCCCCATCTCCAGATGGCTTCTCTCCATACAGCCCTGAGGAAACAAATCGTCGTGTCAACAAAGTTATGCGAGCCAGGCTGTACTTGCTGCAGCAGATAGGACCCAACTCTTTCTTAATTGGAGGAGACAGCCCTGATAATAAATACAGAGTGTTTATTGGGCCTCAGGTAGAGAATGTTTTTGTGTTGTCTGTAGCTTTCATTAATTTATTGTTAATCTTAGAAAACTGTTCAAAATCGAATTAGATCAAGCAGGTTGCTAACGAGTGGTAGCAGTTCTATAGAGAGATGTTTGAAAGTTGTAATCTGTGCTCATGTGGTATAATGATCAGCTTGTATTTTGTCAATTATGTAGCAAGTATATTAGTTTTGTCTAAAATTTCTCTTTTAAAAAAACCCCAAAACTCTAGACTGGATGTAATCACTATTTTCCTGTATATTTCTCATTCCTAGAAGTGGCTTTTAATTATATATCTTAAGGGGTTTTCCTAAAATTTGGCCACTTCATTTTCCTAGTTTCTTTCTCTGAAACATTTTATTTCCTCTATTCATGGGATACATATAAATGAAAAGCACATGACAGAATTCCTTTAATGGTGTGATCATTTCATTAATACCCATAGTGAGGTCCTTTTCACAGACTTTCATAGCACTAATGTGATGCTTCATTGGGGAACATCTAGGTTTTTGAGTAAATAGCAGCATCTTGTTTAAGTTTGCTGTCATGTTATGGTTATAGGATGATTATATGCGTAAATTCATTCTAGGATGAAGTTTAGCTTCAGTTGATTTTAAAAAGAATTTTAAAATGTCGAAAAAAAGCCAATTGAAAACTGGTGTAATAATTGTCTGCTTTTCCATGTATATTCCTGAATAATATTTTGGGAATTCACATTTTCTGTAAGGCCATGTAGGAAGATATTTATGCCTATATAAGAAATATTTTGCATAAACTACTTGGGATAGTATATGTTCTATGACGCACTTAGATCTGGAAAAATTATCTATGTAATTATAAATTCAGTAGAGCCTTAGCATATACTTTTTCTGTAGACTTGTAGCTGTGGCCGTGGGACATTTTGTATTCATCTGCTGTTTGTTATGCTGCGAGTGTTCCAGCTTGAACCCTCAGACCCAATGCTCTGGAGAAAGACACTGAAGAACTTTGAGGTAATCTGTTTCTAATAGATTAATGGCAGATCTAAAATACACTCCAGGTAAAAGACTTTAGGACACTATCTTAAAAATCCTGAAGACTGTTGCTTTTCAAAGCAACAAGAATATATGTTTTTAATTATATCTTTAATTCAGTCTCAAGAGCTCTAAGTATAAAAAAAAAAAATAGCTGCAAATAAGACATAACAAAAAGAATAGTACAGAGCTGTAGTTCAAGGGGTTGATTCAAATCTTGGATTTTCTACTCAAATTTGTCTCACTGATTAGCTGAAAGGGTCTTCAGAGGTAATTGTGTGTATACTTAAAGCTGTTGTTTATTTTTAATAAGCAAATAAGTTTTTTGTTGTAAAGTGTT